TTGAGATTAATTTTTTTTTTTATTCATTAATCGTGTATCCATAACTTAGAGATAAAAACTGATTTTCGAAATCGTTGGCAGTTTCAAAATTGATTTCTCTTCGAGTGTAAACCAGTGTATATATATAGATATATCAAAGCTATCGATAAATGCTGAACAACGTGAAAGAAACTTGAGAAATATGAGATTGCTCGAGTCGCGATTTGACGTGGAATAGCATGGTTGGAACATTGAAGGATAATACTCTTTCACAACGAGGAGAGCGATTTCTCCGAAGAAATATTTTCAAATCATGTAGAAGAATCGTAATTTTAAGATGTTCTTGACATCTCCTTTCCATATCAACCGAACAGTCACTTATCAAAATTTTAACCGCATAATATTTCATAAAAGTATCGTTCAAATTGGATTGAATTGGATATTATATTAGTCACGAAACTTTCTTTTTTCAACGGAATTTGCGGAAGATTGAATAATTCTTACGACATACAAATCTACATTTAACGATTTATTAAACTATTTGCAAATTCTTTGCTTAAAAAAATTTTTTTATATCAGGTATCTCATTTATAATCCTACAGAAGTTAACATTAGAAACACAATCTTTTTCTAATCACTTAAAAAGATAACTGTAAGATATGTACAATAGTATATATCTTTCTTCTTAAGATATTGAAAATCTCTATGGTTGTAAGATTTAAAATACTACTAAATCTTAAAATATCGCAAAAAAATACGTGTACGTATCATTTTAATATAATCGCAAGGTTTAATGTTACAACACGTGATAACATATGTTCCACGATAGACACGAGTTGCACAAACGATTTCCACGAACACAAATCGAGGTTTATCGGCAATCTGTCGATGAATCGACGAGTCTTCCACGCGGATGATAACAGAAAGTTATCCGTTTAATTAATCGGTCGAATCGCCGATTCAGATATATTATTCGCCGATTTCCTTGCATTTGCGCCCTTACCAAGTCGACGGTGTGCTAATTCAAATAAATCGCCTAACTCCATTGATAATTGAAACGAATAGAAATCGAGATCGCGATTTGTGGAAACTCAAAGTCTTAAATTAAATGTTACACGAATTTTAATATATCACGATTAAAATTGTTATCTTTTATATGTCCCAAAATATGGAAATTTAAAAAATTTTCTTCCTCTGAAATGTCTTATTCAAATGTCTTTCAAATCGATATTATCGAAAATTATCGTATTCGCAAATTAATCCAATATCATGGCAACGCCGAAATTTCGATAATTAAGCTCAGAGATGAAAAATGGGAAAGGAAACAATTATCGATCACAATGTGAAAAATATAACAATTACCTATAGATCGAATTTTAAATCGAAATTGAAGAAAAACAACAATCAATTACTTATAATTAAAAAATATTAAAAGTGAAAAAACAATTACTCAATTACTCGATTCAACACAATATCACAATAATATTAAAAATACAACAAAATTACTTACTACTAGATCCAATTTTAAATCATAAATCATATCAACGTTGAAAAAACGTTTATCAATTATCAACTCAACGTTATCAACAATATTTAAAATACAATTACCTAAATTTCAACTCGACGATTATCACTTGTTAATTAATTAAAGACAACCGACCGAATTACTCTAAATCTAAAATACCTATACAAATAAAACTTCGAATAAAAATTATAGCATTAAAAATAAGAGGCGTGAAGCATGTTCCAACAGTTATCGCATCGTCTAAAAATACAACAATTGCGTAAAGATTGAAACGAATATATCAGCTGTTTTAATCGTGCATAAAACTCGGTTTGCCAAATCCTCTCTCGAGGCAAGGAGAGATAAACGGGAGGGGGTTGTACGCGTGGGTTGGCCAATAAATCGCGCAAAGCGTCTCATCTCTCGGCTCGATCGCGAGAGGCCCTCCTGTAATTAAGCCGGAGATTACGTAAAGTTTCTCGAAAAGTGGTTTCCACTGGCCGGAAACCGGGATGCCACACGGATGCCCGGGACGAGGAGGAACTACGGGCGTGAGCACGAGCCCACTACTAACATACATACATCGGCACACATCGCCCGCCATACTCCACGCGTTCATATATACATATATACATATATACATATATATATATATAGTGCACTTTTCGAAAGAAGGAGAGAAGAGAAATAAAACTAGGTGTAACAAGAACTCATCCGTACGAGAGCGAGTGGGAAATGCTGAAGGCAAGTTGGAGGCTTCGGGTTGGGCAACACGGGCCGACGGGTAGAAGTCGTACATCGGGGTGCAGTGGCGCGGAAACAGAACCGCGTGGAAGAAGGAGAGCCGTGCAGCGAATTAATGCTGCGAAACTTTCCAATAATCGGCTGGCCGTATTTGCTTCTGGCTCTGGGTTGAAATGCGATATGAAATATGAAGGATGATGATTCGTGGAGGGAATTTCGTGTCATCGGGCACGAGGCACGATGATGATGGATTAATAAAGAAAATAACGTTGCGATAAATGCGCGTAATAATTAGCGTTAATTATGGGGGAATTGCAGTTTTTCGAAATAACGATTTTCGTTCTGATGATCCATTTTGGATCAATTAATTTATAGAATGGAGATAAATAAGGTTATTATTTTTGTCCGATTAAGTAATAATCGTTATGGATCATGAAAGAGATTTTGGATTATTGCCATATTTAAACAGTATCTATAAATATTTGGATATCTATATATATTGCAAATAATTAAGTAGTTAAAGTAATGTCGTGAAAATAAATAGATACGTTTGTATCTAAGTAATTTAAAATAAAACAAGAAAATGTGAAATTATTTTTTTACGGTTTTTGGTTGTTTGGTTGTTCTAGCGTTAATAAGGAAGAATTTTTTATTGTAGTTTCTACTGTTTAGATATTCTTTTTAATTAAGTGGTGATCGAAATTGATAGGAAATAAATAAGATATTTTAGATAATTGTTATATTGAAAAGAGCATAAATTATTATTTAATTATTGCAATATTTGATAAAAAAATTATATATACATCTAAAATTTTTTATAAATTTATTCGTAATTATACTTATCATTGTTCAAATAAATTTTAATCATAATTGCACACAATTACAAAACTTGAACCTTGAAATTTGTGCACGTGTCATCAATTAATGATAATGATACCGATTCCCCTTCCTAACCTTATACTGTTTTATTTCCTCCTCGCTGTAATCATATGATTTGGCTAAATTACTGCGAGGAAAAACGAAGTGAAACTATTTAACTAGATATGTAAATGAAGTTGAGTTATATAATAGGACAAGTTAATATTCTTAAACTCTTCTAAAGATTATTCTTCTATAAAAAATGCGATGTAGAATATTTAAGAGGAAATAAGATAATTTATGATTTTTCTTAGTTTTTATATAAAAAGTATGTCATATAAAACTTGCTGCAATAATAAAAATAGTAATTCCATGCATTCCACGTTCAGAAAATTCTATTGAGATGAATTTTAAAATGTTTTCAACCGTGTTAATGTATTTCTCATTAATATATTTTAAGAATTCTATTCGTCATAATTAAAATTACATTGACCAATAATTTACTATTGAGATGTTAATCAAATGGAAAATGACAGATCAAAATTCAAATCAAAATTTGAAAAAAAAGGATCGAATTCAAATTTAAATTCAATTTATACTAAACATCGATTATTTATTACAATTACAGTTTTAAAGATATATACTTTACGGATATTAAAGGATAGAATCGCTTATTACGTTAACCGCTTTTACCAAATGTGAACGAACTCGTTCATTATTCATAAGTGAAAGAGGAATTCCTTGGTACGATTAAAACTGTACGTGATGCATTGCATAAAATAAATGAAGCAATGTTCTGCATTGCATTTCCCGAGTAATTATAAACGATAAAAAAAAAAATTTTATCCCGTTGTTCAATAACGTGATAATTATTTTGTAATTATTTTTCTGTAAAAATTGCAGAAATAGATTAGTAGAAGAAAATAAGAAGAAATTCTTGTTTCATAATATATATAGCGTATAATATTTCTATAACATAATCTTGGCAAATGTTTTATTTTCCTTCTTTATCGTAATTAACGGTATAATTTTGACGTTAATTTAACGGTATAACATCTTGAATGGATACCAAACACGCGAACATTTCGCCTTTAACAAATTTAAAAAATTAATAAAAAAAAAAGAGAAAAGAAAGATTGAAATATCAAATAGAATTCTTTATAAAGTGCCACACATAAGTGTATAAAACCTTTTAAAAAAATAGTTTCCTCCGATAATTTTTTCGTTACAGAGGAAGAAAATTAATTTTCAAATTTTGACAATCAAATCGGACAAAATTTACGGACAAAAGAATTCTTCGCCATTCTCCTCTACTTGTCAAAAATATCATCCAAAGAAATGAGGGAAACGAAAGAGTGTTTCTCGAGTCTTCGCATAATTTCATCATTCACCGATCATCCATTCTCATGAAAATTATCCTCGATAATTCTTCGAGTTGTCACGGTGACACGAGAGGAAGGTAAAATCCTACGAAAGGCGCAATTACGCGTTATACGATGGAGAATAAAAAGAGAGAAGAATGAGAAAAAAGAGAAAGAGGATGGCCAAAAGGACCAACAGGCCGTTCCCCCCGAAGGGGCGAAAGAACCGTTTAAAATATTCAACGCGGTCTCTTGGAGGCCGTAGCAACGAGGAGGAGATCTTAAAGAAGAATCTTCTTCGAGTTTCCCAACTCCGAGGAAACACAGAGCCATTCGCGAGAAGCGCAATTTAAAAGCTCCTTATCACTGGATTCCTTTTTCCCTGCGAACGAGCCACACTTCACGAGGAACAATGCAATGCCGATCAAACAGTGGAACCGTGCAATTGCTTCCCGATCAAACGTCGAGATCGAGAGAAGCAAGCCTCGTTGCTTCAGTTGTTCTTCCAGTTATGCGTGGATGTGCGATCGCAGAAGATGGTGAAGATCGCAGATTGAAAAGCATTGCCGCCAAGCAATGAATATTTTTATGAATACTTGAATATTTTCTTTCTTGAAACCCATTTTTTTTTCTTTTTCTTCTTTTTAAATTCTTGTTAATTTATTGGGGTGACAATTGTATCGATGGAAATAAAAAAAGTATCTTGGATTTAAAAGAAAATTGAAAAGAAAAAGATATCCTTGATTCCATGAAGAAAATTAGAATTATTGTAATGGTAAGAATTATTTCATAAAACGTTTCATATATATATATATATATAT